TTGGGCTGACCCAGTCATGTCCTTAGCAGCAGGCAACACAAAAATGATTTGGAATCTCATAGTAAGGCCAGATCCGATATGGTCAATCCAGGCTGATCTTCATATAATTGTTGGACATAGATGCATCTTTAATCCCAGTTGTTTTATGGTTTTCCCAGCTAAACAGGAATAATGCTAGGTTCACACCTTTATGTGTTTTTTACGATTGATGCATTTTTCCAGAGTTTTTTGCATTATTTAGCACATTTTTGACGCATTTTGCTTTTTTTGCCAATAGAAAAGTATTGACTTTGATTGGACTTTGATGTGAATTTGCATAGTTGTGACTTGGATGTGAGCTTGGATGGGTGTGACTTGGATGCGACTTTAGATGGGTGTGACTTGGATGTGACTTGGATGCTACTTTCATGCTATTTGAGTGCCAGGGACTACAACGTTGAATCAAAGTCAATACTTTCTTATTGTCAAAAAACAAAACACAAAACGCATCGATAATTCAACACTTGCATTTTTGGTGCGGTTCTATTGAACTCTATTGCACAAAAAATGCAATCTGCTGCAGGAAAAAAGTTCCTGACCATTTAAAGAAGCACATTGGCTCATATGCACAGATGTGAACTAGATCCATAGGAAATCATGTTAAATGGACTGTAGTGCATTTCTGCAAACTGCAAAACACACTAAAATCTGCATAACTATGAACCTAGGGTGAGACTTATGAGGACCGTAATCCTATCCTTACAGGTCTAGGAATCTATGGGTAAAGCAAGCACCAAATGTAAAAATCAAGTAATGATCTTCTAAATATGATTATCTAGTTCTGCAGAAAATGGTTAGATAAGTAGCTATTTATCCCATATCTATGGGTAAGTTTAGTCTCACAGTCAGTGACAGGGTGTATACATAAATGGTAGAGGTTTGGATATTCTTAGGAAGTATTGCGTATGATTGGTTGAGACTGTGTTCCTAGTAGCAGTACTTGAAACAAACTACAACCGGTGTAATATAAGGAAAATGTACAGCTGTGGAAAAGACACTGATTTATCATAATGCAACTATATTGAGGGTGGCACAGTGGCTTAGTGGCTAGCACGTCTGCCTTGCAGTAAATGGGTTCGATTCCCAACCATGGCACCTCCTGCATGGAGTTTGCATGTTCTCCCTGTGCTTGTGTGGGTTTCCTCCTACACTCCAAAGACAAGCTGGTAGGTTAATTGGATCCTGTCTAAATTGGCCCTAATATGTGTATGTATGAATGTAAGTTAGGGACCTTAGATTGTACACTCCTTGAGGGTTAGGGACTGATGTGAATGTTCAATATATATGTGTAAAACACTGTGTAAATTGACAGCGCTATATAAGTACCTGAAATAAATAAATATTATTATGAAAAGAGAGCAGAAAACAAGATGGATTTCTTAGGATATCTGCCATCACCATTCTGTGATCTATGATATGCTCTGTCTCTGCAATGAAAGGTCCCTGGAAATATATTATAACTTATATATAGGCTTGTGGGCCTAAGGGCAGCTTTACCCTCTTAGCCCAGGGTTAATTTTGCAAGTAGCATCATTAAATAATATACAGGGCTTTTTTTTGTGGGAATGCAGGAATTGCACCTCAAGCACTGAATGTATGTAAAGGAAAGGAGTGTTTGGGTGTGCTGAAGGGTCTATAGTTGTGGCTTACTGGGGGTTCTATTGTCATTGGAGGGGATCTACTGTTGTTGGGGAGTCTTATATTGCTGGGAGGGATCTTCTGTTGAGAGAAGGGTCTATTGATGCTTGCTGAGATCTGATGTTGCTGATGGGGGTCTATTGTTGCTGGTGTAGATTTATCATTACTGAGGGTGGGAAGTATTTTGTTGTGGGGGTCTATTTATGCTGCAGGATCTATTGTTGCTGGGGAGGGGGGTATTGTTGCTGGGGAAATCTATTGTTACTGGCTGAAGGGGATCTATTTTACTGATTTTCTTGTTGTCAATAACAAATTCCATACAAATTACTTATCACCACAAAAGGAATGGTTCTGTATTTTCTAAAAGTTGCAGTACTGGTATGTGGGTAGGGGGTGGAACCAAGGGACGGTGATCAGAGGTGGGTAGGGGGGCAGGTACAAGGTAACTTGAAAGAGAGGAGTACCTGCACCTATTCTATGAGAAAAAAAGCCTGATTATATATACACATATTTTCTTTCTCTGAATAACATTTAGCCCTGGTTCACACTGATGTGACTTGTCATGTGATTTGACTGTTCAAATTGTATGACAAATCGCATCCAGTGATCGCAATGGAACCTTTCTAATCAGTGCAACTCCGACTTTGTTGGAGTCGCACCAATTTAAAAGTAGTTCTTGCACTACTTTTGCTGATTTTGGGTGCGACTTGCATAGCCTTCTATGCATGACGTCGCACAGATGTCTGCAAACCACACTCAAAGTCGCACTGACATGCAACTTTGATTTCTAGTTCACATGCAGTGTGAACAGGGGCTATCAGTTGAATACATTTTTATTATTAATACATTTTTGAGAAAGAGCAAAGTTATAATCAAGAAAATAAGACACATTCCCTCACAATTCCATAATATTCTACAAGTGATACGCCAAAACACCATTAACAATGATATAACCTAAATATCTCATATCATTTAAAGGTTATGGATTGAAATGACAATAACAAGAGGATTTTGAGTAGGTTGTCATAGGTATAACATGAAGAGTGCAGCTGGCTTTGGAAGTGGGAGTAGGGAGAAGTAGGAAGTAAGAAAAAAAAGAAAAGCTATCAAGTGAGAATAGCTAGAGATGAAAAACAAAGGGTAGTAGCATGAGTTTGGATCTGGGGGCTTCTAACCTGCAAGAACAGTATATCAGGGAATAAAAAAGTTGATCAAAATACAAAAATACAAAAATTTTAATGGAGTGGGACTTTTGAGGCACAACATGTTTCATTTAAAACATAATAAATCTTTTATTAAAAACACTTCATAAAAATGGTGAGGGAGAGGAACAGGGAGCCTCTGGTGCAATGTGGTGATTATAATGCTGCTGGTCTGACTCTCGGTTTATGAAGCTTAACAGTCCTTGTAGAGCATGGGTTATTACCCCATAATAGATTCTAGTGCCATAGCAGGTAGTGGATAATTTTTGGAGGTCCGATATGTGGACTGAGTTATGGTGTAACTACCTAGATAACGTATACCGCAGATGCTAAAGTTTATATGGCTACCTCAGTGCTATTTTGAGACTAGTATAATATCTGGTGGGAAGATTGCTATAATAGCAAGGATGAAGCTGATTGATTCCATTGTGGGCCACTTTTGCCTTTTTTGTTCGAATCTTATGCATCATATTCCCACTTTTGGCCTCTTTACCCTCAGAGGGTGATATGTTAAAGTGGAGGGAGTGGTCTAGTTGTGGAATACCTTGGAAACTCCTTTTTTTCCCTCTCCATCCCCCTTTTCTTGTGGCTCAGTGGAAAGTGGATACTTGCAGCAAACAGTGTAAGCACAGATATATTTTTCAGCTCCTGCAGAAGTGGATTATGTCCAGGAAACAAGCAGACCTACAGTACTGTGCAAAAGATAATCTGACCAGAAAAGATACACTGGTTTAATAGCACATGACTGAAACATCTTCATATATATCTGTGTATATTTTGTAAATTTTTTGTGAACATACTTTCAAGTTTTTATGAATGTTGTTTTCAAAAGATTTAATAGGTTTAAATGAAATATGTTGTGCCTCAAAAGTTCCACTCCACAATTTTTGTATTTTGGTAGTCTGATACGGATGTGGCACTAACAGTTAATACTTTCAAGTTTTGTTTGATTAAAAAGTTGAGTTGCAATACCCCTTTCATCATTATTCATTTTCATCTCCCTATTTAATATTTAGCTTTGGAAGGACTGAGAGAGGCTTAGAACCTCTGATTATGGTTATATTGCTGTCCATGTCCTAGCTGGAAAGATTCACCCACTCTATTCCTGTTGATTCTTGTCACTGGGGCTGACATTCTTGGGACTGAAATTAAGAGAAACTCCAAATTTTTGAGTTGTTATCCTTACAGGGGAAGGGATCTGCCATGGAAGCACTAGTTCCAGTGACAATTGTCTTAGAGATAAATTCCCTTACTTTGGAGAGATTTACTCAAATTTTGTTATGTTTACAGGACAATAAATAAAGGGAAATCTCTCCAGTAGGACAATGAAGGCAAAAAATACCTGACAGAGATTATGCATGTTCTAACCAAACTTTTTTTTTTAAGTTTTTGATTTAGGTCAACTTAAAGGCATCAGAAAACCATGGCAGAAGAAAAATCGTCCTCAAATATTTGTGCCAACCCTCACATTCTTAAATATGAACAGTTATATTGTTCAACAGGGCAGGGACGGTAGGCAAATGGCAAACACCATTTGCTTTCAGCTTCTGAGCAGGATAACTATAACAATCAAAAAAGGGTTTTGGCCTTTTATAATTAATATTCTTCCCAATAATTCTGGTACAATAATTCTGCTTGAGCCAGCAAGAAAAGTAGTCAGATCACTGAAAGATAAAGTGTTTTCTCATTTTGTAAAAGCATTTTGAAATAATTATACCGTATTTATGAGATGAGCAAGGAACAGTGTAAACTATTTTAGGAGACAGAAAAAAAAAGTCCTAACATTACATATCAATATTATTTCACAATTACATGTTTTAAAAAGGCTGTGTGTCAAACCTAAACTAAAATGATCCAAGGAAAAAAGTCTGTTCTTTTCAACCAATAGTATGTAATAATCTAGTTTAACTAATTAATAAGTTAGTTTAATTAAATAAATTAACCTCTTGCCGACCGCGCATAGCCGAATGACGGCTTCACCGCGGCCGGCCAGTTCTGAGTGGACGTCATATGACGACCTCCCAGAACGCGCACTCCTGCGCGCCCCAGGGGGCGCGCACCCGGCGATCTCCGTGATCGCTGTGTCCTACGGACACAGCTGATCACGTGATGTGGTAAAAGGCCACTCACAGTGGCCTTTTACCACGTGATCAGCGGTGTCCAATGACACGCTGATCACAGGGAAATGCAAGTGCCGGCAGTTGTCAGAGCGGGGATCGGCACCGATCATCAGGGCACTGATGATCAGTGCCCTGATGATCGGTGCCCAGCAGTGACACCCGCAAGTTCCGCCCAGCAGTGCGCCCACTAGCTCCGCCCACCCGTGCCCAGCAGTACCCCCACCTGTGCCCAGCAGTGCCCCCACCTTTGCCCAGCAGTGTACCCACCTGTGCCACTCTGCAGTGTCACCTACCTGTGCCCAGAAGTGCCACCTACATGTGCCCAGCAGTGCCACCCACCTGTGCCCACCCACCTGTGCCCACCAGTGCCACCCACCTGTGCCCACCAGTGCCACCCACCTGTGCCCACCCACCAGTGCTGCCCACCAGTGCCACCCACCAGTGCAGCCCAGCAGTGCTGCCAGTCAGTGCCACCAGTCAGTGCCCAGGGGTTGTGCCAGTCAGTGCCACCAGTCAGTGCCCAGCAGTGATGCCAGTCAGTGCCGTCTATCAGTACCCATAATCAGTGTCACCTATCAGTGCCGCCTATCAGTGCTGCATATCAGTGCCGCCTATCCGTGACCCCTAATTAGTGCTGTCTATCAGTGCCGCCTATCCGTGCCACCTCATTAGTACTGCCTATCAGTGCCCTTTAGTGCTGCTTATCAGTGCCCATCTGTGCCGCCTATCAGTGCCCATCAGTGCTGCCTCATCAACGCACATCAGTGAAGGAGAAAAAAATACCTGTTTGAAAAATTTTATAAAAGAAAAATAAATAATTTTTTTTTTTTCAAATTTTTTGCACTTTTTTTATTTATAGCGCAAAAAGTAAAGCGCCCAGTGGCGATTAAATACCACCAAAAGAAAGCTCTATTTGTGAGAAAAAACTTATCAAAATTTCATATGGGTACAATGTTGCATGATCGCGCAATTGTCAATCAAAGTGCGGCAGCGCTGAAAGCTGAAAATTGGCCTGGTAAGGAAGGGGGTATAAGTGCCTGGTAGGCAAGTGGTTAACTAATATTAAAATAAAGATATAAGATAAGTCATCCCTTATAAAAGCTGAATTGAAGGTAGATGTAGAAAACATTTTAGTGCAGTTATGCACTCATTCAAAAAAATTATTAAATGTATTGTTAAAGAGACAATACCAAGTATAACGTGCAGGCAACCTAGAGTCTTCCTTAGCAATCTGCGCCCCCGTGCCTAAATGCCAAACCGTTCTGACTGTGCAAAGACCTGGCACTTCTTGGTATTTATCAAAACTCTGTCTGCCTCATCCTGGTTCCCATATATTCATATTAGCAATTAAAGAGTAATTCTACTTTTGTTCAGAAAGAAAATAATCCATTTTGGGTGATCAATGCACATTGCAGGGATTTTAGCAAACTTTGTAGCAGATTCCAACCTTTTATTGCTCTAAAGAAATAGCTGTTTGTTTCACCAGACTGATCGCAGACTGAGTCTGAATAGGAAGGACTGGTTCATTAAGGGTAATAAGCTGGTGCACTCTTGTGTTTTAGTGAGAAAAGTTGCAGGGTCTTACAGTGGCTGCAAATTAAAAAGTAGAGGTAATTTTTCAAAATAATAAATGACAAACATGGTGGGCGTAGCAAATGGATATGCTACATTCTTTTTATTTGCTATATTTTTTCCATGAAAGTGGACTTACCCTTTAAGTTAAGTAATGGACTAATTGGAATATATAGGAATCAGGCACTAACAGGATGTGTCACAGCTTTGCATGACTGGAATAGTCAGGTGCAATTCTCAAAACCTGAAATTGACAAAAAATCTGCTCATATACGATCATCTTGAATGAATGAATGGGATATCATTGCAAGTGTCTTTAAAAGAATCTTGTATGGAGAAAATATACTGTATTTAGAGAAATATATGGCTTCTCATTGTTGACCTCCTTTAAAAAATGCTAATTTCCTTGATGTCATGTTGATTTAATGGGCTTAATACATTCTGAGTCAGCGACCTGGAATAAGAATCCAAAACAGATATTCTGATTTCATGATGACTGCCTTTTTGTTACATTATTGTCCCTTATTATTCACTCCCCTAAAAAAGTGAAACAGTAACTAAACTCACCAACATGGTGACAAAGTGCTTTACCACTAAGGACGCTCTGTGTACGTAATGCAAAAAGATGGCAACCACTCCAATTTATAGCCTTTGAAGTAAGGTACAGATGGAAGAGCAATGGGCAGCACAGTGGCTAAATGGTTAGCACTTCCGCCTGGCAGTATTATGGTAATTGGTTTGAATCCCAACCATGGCACTGCCTACCTGGAGTTTGCATGTACTCCGGTTTCCTCCCACACCCCAAAGACATGCTGGTAGGTTAATTGGATCCTGTCTAAATTGGCCCTAAAAAATGTAAATGTGTATGTATGTATGAATGTAAGTTAGGGACTTTATATTGTATACTCCTTGAGGGTTAGGGATTGGTGTGAATGTACAATATGTATACATAAAGCACTGCGTAAATTGATGGCGCTATATAAGTACCTGTAATAATAGTAAATAAATGTACATCACAAACAAACAAAAATTTCCCAGCACTCTGACCAGCTAAGCCTGCAAACAAGCCAAACTGACTCTGCCCAATGATTCATGTTAAAACAGAGGGTTTAAAAGCTGCAGTGCCAACATCAAGGCTCCTCTGTATACTGCTGTCCTAACTCTACAGTTTTGACAGTCTCCATGTTGGAGCTTATTTAACAATGGATAAAACAAGGGCAGGTTTAGCTGCTATATACATTCAAATGTGAAGGGTTAACAAAAAGCTCATGGCTGTGCTTGATTAGCTGCAGTGAAGGGCAGGACAGACATTAGAGGTCTAATAGCCGCCAATGTCTCCATAAAGAATACCTATCACTTTGTTAGTCAAAATTAAAAGCAACTTTAAACACACCCACAGATGGAAACACGCAAATATAAGTAAATGGTGATTGCTTAACACGTGTTATATATCTTTGTGAATGTTGGAGTGAGACCAATAACACTGTTCAACAGGTAAAAAGTTTTGGGCATAAAATTAGCTAATCTTACATAATTTTGGGGTGCTGAAAACGAAAATGACCCTAAAAAATGTTGATTGGCTCTAGTTTCCATGATATATTCACCCATCTAATGACGTAAGCCATTCAAAATTATGATGCAACTTCAGCTGCATATTGCGCAATTGATACTGGTGACCAATAGAAAATTGCATGTATACTGAGATGATGCAATATTAGCCTTTAATTGCATCACTTCACTGCATAAAAGCTGCAGTATCTGTAGCTGATTGTAGTTCGACAGCGTCTTTACATTTCGTTTTATGCTTATATAGGCTACTCAGTAATGCCTCGAACTTGTGTGAATAAAGCAGATAATTTCTGCTATATCTGCGGTGAAATAACTTTTATCTCACAAAAAAGGAGGATAACAGGAATGATTAAGAAAGCCTACAACTTGTATTTTGGCTGCAAGATAGGAGACCAGGACAAGAGCTGGGCACCACATATATGCTGCAATTCTTGTGGGACGGCACTGGAGCAATGGTTGAATGGAAAAAAGGCATCTATGCCTTTCGCTGTGCCAATGATTTGGAGAGAGCCAACAGATCATGTTAGTAATTGTTACTTTTGTATGGTGCCTCCAATTGTAAAAGGGCTAAATAAGAAGAAAAAGTTATTACACATCAAGTTGGGATTAATGAAAAACTTTGTTAAGACAATGGACAAGAATAAAGCAGGTTTCAAGTACCTGATTAGCAAATTTCCAGCACTTAGTGCTGCAAAAATAAATGAAGGAGTCTTTGTTGGGCCACAGATTCGTAAACTTATTCATGATGATGAGTTTCTTTCTCTGTTGTGTGGAAAGGAAAAGGCTGCCTGGACAGCATTTGTATCAGTGACATCAAATTTTCTTGGAAACAATAAAACACCAGACTACAAGAAAGTGGTAGAAAAACTCATCCAGACTTACAGAAATCTGGGTTGCAACATGTCTCTAAAAATTCATTTTCTACATTCGCATCTGGATTTTTTCCCACCAAACTGTGGAGCAGTGAGTGATGAACACGGAGAGCGCTTCCATCAAGACATTGCAGCTATGGAAAGAAGATATCAAGGTAAATGGAGCCCATCAGTGCTTGCTGACTATTGCTGGACAGTTGTAAGAGAGAGCCCTTTCCTCGAATACAAGAGAAAAGCCAAGAGAAGCAAAACCGACACAAACTGAAGACAAAACTAGTGAGAATCCTATGTATTAAAATGATTCAACTTAGCTTATGGCTATAATTTTTCTTGGTAATCCTATGCAATATATTATGCCATTTAGGCTTTGTTATGTAGTCAATATCACTTGCTTTATATTTGTGGAAAGACATCTATCTATATAATTATTGTGCATTATGTAGTCATTACGCCTATAGTAGAAAACTTTCCGTTTACAGAAAAACTAGAGCCAATTGACAAATTTCATTGTTATATTTGAACTCAGAATGTGATATTCATTAAGAAATGGATCCTTTTGTTTCCAAAACTGGCAAAAAATAAAAATTTGTTGAACAGTGTAATTCTAGGTACCTCTTTTATGGTTTACTGCAAACTGATGAGCTGTAAAGGCAATTAAAGCATCACATATTAAAAATTTGAAGTGCCATCATTTTTTGCCATTTTTCGGGGCCAAGCAGTTTTAAGGTTTGTCACATTTAATATCTATTTACTCTACACTACCTCATCTTTTTTTTAATTTTTTTTTTAGAGTGTTACTATACCCAGAACAGTAAAATCAGTCTGTATATGAAGTAACGCATGCTTGTTATACTCACTGTGGAACCTAAGGGTTAATCCTCCACATTGTATAAAAGGACTGTTTGATCCTGACTTCTCTGATCCTCCCCTTCTTCCAGTGTCCCCCTTATATCTCCTGATAACATATATTGTGTGGAGACACTCTGCACATGCTCAGTTTGGTGTGTATTTCTAAAGAGGTTTTGTTTTTTCTTGGGAGAGTACATGTGATTAGCACAGGGCCAATCAGCACTGTCCAGAGAGAGGTCAGGGGTTCTGCATCCTCCTAGAGCAAAATGAAAACTCCTCCAAGCTTTAATCAGTGCTGGGCTGGACACTGATAGAAGTCACAAGACTGCTCTAACTGCATATGAGAAAAGGTATTTAGCAGTTTATATTTACTAAAATAATTGCATTTCCATGTTCTGTGTAGTGTGAGAGACCAGATATAGTGAATGCAGGTCCTGGGTTTAGTAACACTAAAAATACAGGAGTGCTTTATTAAAGTCAATTACATTGTACAACATAAATTATACAAAGCAAATGGTCATCCAAAATTA